AAAAAAGTGAGAAAACAGATGTGTAGTAAGAAATCGTTCTTTTGCAGAATATTTTTAAACTTAGTGCGGACGAGAAAGCGGTGCGTTGCCACGTCAGTGTAATTCTCTAGACTTGGTTTAAACTTCGTTTGAACGTGGCGGAAGAAAATCCTGGAAGTAGAACTTTGCCAGGGCTTCAGAAAATCCTGGAAGTAACCGTTAATGGACTCTTACTATGAGGACGTACTTAAAGGCTGTTCACGGGAAAGTGAGCACTTTTGAAATCAACATTTGAAAAATGTCACTGCCCTTACATGCTTATATTACAACGGGGACATTGACTGTCGTGCGCCCAGTAAAGTTGGCAACGACGGAAAGAAATTAATTCCACGTCTTAACGTTAAATTACACGTGTTATGTAAACATTTGTGGATACTGAAATAGATATAGTTTACTTTCTGGTTTTTATTTAATGCATATTAGTGTAAGAATACAAATATTTGTAAAATATTTACTCTTCTAAAAAAATTTACAGTTGCCCTTGATCGACGCACGAATAAAGCGATCAGGCCAATAGTAAAGTTAATTTTACATATGGTGAAAGTATATACAATGTACATATACGTGTGCTTTCAAAGGTGCTCATTTTACCTTGAACAGCCCACAGTAAGAAATAGTTTTTATTGAAAACTTTATTACACTGATGTAATATCTTAGTTTCAGGTAAACTTTGTTTGCATGAGGCGGAGGAATCTATACTGGAAGTAAAACTTTAGCAGGGCTTCAGAAAAATGTGTAATAAACTTGAATCGACTATAATACTTTGAGTGCGATAGAGACTTACTGCCAATAAAGCCTCTGTCACGCTGTTAAAATTCCCAGTCAAGCTACTTCCAGTAAGTTTGGAAAATAAAGTTGTAAAGTTGTAACGTCACCGAAAAGTCATTGTCGCCTCCGTGTTTGTCAGGAGACGGCACAAAATAACGCGAATATAGACTGTTCACGGTAAACTGAGCACTTTAGAAAGCCTTGCTTTGAGGATTGTGTATTCTTCCGCCTTATGTAACATTAACATTGCTATGGGCCTCATCACTTTATTCACGATTCGGCCTAGTGAAACTGAAATTATTAGAAAAGTAAATATTTACAAATCTTCTAATTCTTACACTTTGACGAATTAAAAAAAAAAAAAAAAAAAAAAAAAAATAGAGAGCAAGATAAATTATCTCATATTTCCAAAAATGTTTTGCCTAACACTTTTACGTCAACGTTAAAATATGGAACTACTTTCTCTTGGCCGTAACCAACTTTACCGTGCGCACGCCACTCAGTGCGCAAGTTAAAACATACGCAAGAATGGTCAGTGACATTTTTCAAATGTTGATTTTAAAAGAGTGCTCACTTTATCGAGAAAACAGCCTTTAGCCAACTAGACCCAAGGCCTATTTCCACAGCTAACGAGCGACGCAGTACGCTTACGTGAGAATGGACCCGGTGCGCCGATTCGTTTCTGATTACTCGCCGATTCCACACAAGGACGAGGTTCCGTGTGTTGGGACCCGGATCTCGAGTCGGCCAGCAGGAATAACCCCGCGACTGATCCCGAGCTGCGTTCGCGGCCGGCCGCTGGGGAACGATTATTTGCGGCGCAGGGGTTTAATGGTATTAACTTTGGCCTGCTTCCCGTGAACTCTCCCGTCCGCCGCCGCTAACGAAATAACGGACCCACATCCCCCCCCCCCCTTCGCACCAAATAAATCCAGCTGTGGTGGCGATCAACACACCCGCCATCAACCATTTTAGAAAAGTCAAGTGCTAGCCCTGATGAAAAGTCGAGGGAGGTTACGGACATAGTATTCCTCGTGGATAACACGACTGGCAGCTTCTGGCACGTAATTATTTAAGGCCGTGTCACAACTCGAAAGCGTGCTCACTTTCACTCGCCCCTCTCACTCTGGCACACTCTAGCGAATTGAGAACTTGAGCCTTCTGGAAGCCTTCAGCATTATTTCTCTGACAGAAAGGGTAATAAATTGTGAAAAAACAAAATATTGCTGGCCTTTCACTTTTCTCGGAGAAATGTGAACATAACAACATCATAATTTATGTTCAATATCAAAAGGAATATTTTTGTTGTTACACATTTCACAATCACAATGATTATGTTAAGTAGATAAAACATTTCTAACACTACTTCAGAAACCACAAAATATATGTCTGGATATCTGACGTTAGACTTGAAAACAACATGGCTGCCAGAGAGGGTGCGAGAGTGAGCACCGAGTGTACATCGTCGTTCACTCTCCCTCTCGCGCTCTCTCCTCGGAGTTGGGACAGTAGAGAGGACTCTCTGTGATGCCAAGTGTGAGCGAGAGAGTATTCTCTCGGCGAAATGGGACACGGCCTAAAACGCACCGCAATAGAGCAAAATCAACTCTTTTCTTGCATATTTATAGTAGTTTGCAGAACAAATACTCCTTGTGTTGCAACAGTTTGACAGGTGATTGTAATGAAACGAAGTGTACTAACTGCTCCGCTTGGACTAATGAATGCTTAATGGTTGTGTAGTAATGACCCCCATTTACTGACGCAGTGGTTACGTTTTACTTAACCGCCTGTTTTCAGCGTGAAGAAACTGAAGACTTAGATTAATCTTCGTCTTCTATAGGCTATTCAAGGTAAAATTAGCACTTTTGAAAGTCCTGCTTAACATATAATAATATGCATGTTGCGTATTATTCCGCCTTATGTAGAATTAACATTGTTTACAGGTCTCAACAATACAATTTATTCGTGCGTAGATCAAGTGCAACTTTGAAATGATTAGATAAGTAAATATTTTAATGATATGCTTATTTCTACAATTCGATGAACAAAAAAAAAAAAGACAATGAAATTACTTCAGTTATCACAAATGGGTACCTGACACTTTTTATCCGACGTTAAGATATGGAACTACTTACCATCCATCGTGACCAACTTTACTGGGCGCATGTCACTCAGTGCTCCCGTTAAAATATATGCAGGTAGGAGCGGTGACTTTTTTTTCTAAGGCTGACTTCAAAAGAGCACACTTTATCGCGAACAGCCTTTAAGTATGTCATAGTAAGAATCCATTAACGGTTACTTCCAGGATTTTCTGAAGCCTAGGCAAAGTTCTACTTCCAGGATTTTCTTCCGCCACGTTCAAACGAAGTTTAAACCAAGTCTAGAGAATTACACTGACGTGGCAACGCATCGCTTTCGTCCGCACTACGTTTAAAAATATTTTGCAAAAGAGCGATTTCTTACTACACATCTGTTTTCTCGCTGTTTTTATTCATATTAATTATAAATGCAATACTATAATAATGGGTAAAATATACGTTAAAGTTCAATGTAACCAAAAAAACACACATCTATGTTAACAGAAGTACAAAACACTTGTGATACGTGGTATATTTAGGAAATAACCAAAACACGTCATACATGGGGTGATTTTTCGAAGGATTGATTCAAAAAGTGCAACGAAAACGCGAATATATTATAACCCACAACTTTCCAATAGTTGCCAACACTAATGTCTAAATCATGTTATCGAACTGTGAAGTAACGTTTGCTGTCAGTTAATTTACCGACGGATCTCTCTATACAAAAGTATACAAATCGCACTGGAATTTCAAAACATGTATTAATTTTAACGGTGTGCTAGCCTCAGTTCAAACCAAGTGGTTTTGGCAATTTAAACGACAAAACAGCCGTTCACTGTTGGGACACACAAATTGGTTTCCGCGCATCTGGCATGGCAATCTACTCTATGTTCACTCTACAGTGGCATTTCGTTAACCGATGTTCCATTGAGTGACATTTTAATGATTGAAATAACTGATTATTAGGGACATGCAAAATTCGCGTTATTATATGACATCAGGCTAAACTTCACAGTACTGTATGTACTAGAGCCGTTGTCGTTTCTCCATTCGCTGCTCATGAGATGTGAAGTCACCTCCTTTTTGACTGCACTACACGTGATTGGGGCACACAATCGTGAAGTGTTCATTTATTGGCGCATAACTACTTAGAGCGTCACGTAAAGTATGGTACAATAACAAACGTAATGCAAAGGTACACATTTTTCAAGTTTAACGTGTCCCCAAATAATAATACGAATTTTGCAGGTCTCTATTGATTACTATTTCAGGACTAGGACTTGCACGTTGGTCATTGGTTCAAGCGTTATTTGAAACATGCTGTAGAACTCAAAAGCCAATAAGAAGCACGTAATTAGAAGCAGCCCCTATCACCACCTCTTTCACTGAGACAGCACATAACCAATGAGCATATGATATTTGCCCGATTTCTCACACGGCTGCGAAGTAGAACCTAAGAGGTCGTCAAACTCGCGAATTTTTCAGGTCTCTACAGACCATACTTCGTAGGGTAAAGCTTTTAAAACGTGAACAGATATGGCCAAGCTCAAGATACCAGATACCAGGTGCCTGAATCAACCTCTTCCCCATATAATATTATGAAATGCTATTGAGGCGACGGCTCACCAAAAAGTTACAACAAACTAAAGGGATATAACGTGGCCTCATATAATCAATGACAATTGGAACACGCACTACTGTTCTGATTGCTACATTCCTCACTGGCTACTACGCAACGTTTGTTATTGGCCCGGTGTCTGCCAATGGAGTGCCGAGATCACAGCGTTCCAATAAAATGTTATTTTATTCTCTACCGTGTTCATTTCCGTAACAATATAGAAATTTATTATTGTATTCACAAAATTACAATGCTGATGAGAGGAAATGTTCTTGTGAAATAGTGATAAAAACTAGAAAAACAATGAAACTATATCCGATTGATTCTTATCTTCAGGGGTAGAGATATTTCCAGATTTGCTTTGCCCGAACGAAGCTCAGGCTTAGTCTTTTTTTTGTTTAGACAAACAACAGACTAATATGTAGGTAGTTATCAAAACAACGGAAACACCAACCTCTCGCTCGCTCGCTCTCTCTCTCTCTCTCTCTCTCTCGGCCACGGTGGCTGAGCGGTTAGCACGCTCGCCTCCCACCAAGGCAAACCGGGTTCAATCCCCGGCCGGGTCACCGGATTTTCACAAGTAGGAATCGTGCTGGACGATGCCGTTGGTCTACGGGTTTTCTCGGGGATCTCCCGTTTCCCCCGGCCCCCTTCATTCCGGCGCCGCTCCATATTCACTTCAATAACCCCCATCGGCTCTCAATACCTCGCTGTTAAGAGTCGCCCAAATATCTATTTTTCTTCATCACTCCTATTTCTCGCGCGCTAGCAATTCCTTGGCCTTCTCACGCGCCGCCGGGTCGACGGACGCGTTACGCAATGTGTATTCGCAGCGAGGCAGGCCGACAACACTGCAAATTAACAGCGGTTTACTCTGCACATGCAAGCAATCCTCCTCCACCGAGAAGCACGTCACACGAGCTGCGGAGTCTGCTTATACCCCAGTCGAAGTTGGGAGACCTTCCTTGCCAAACCATATATATATATATATATATATATATATATATATATATATATATATATATATATATATATATATATATATATATATATCCTACAGGGTGGAAAAGCTCATGTGATATCACGTACAGGCTATTCACGGTAAAATGAGCACTTTTGAAATACCTGCTTAAGATCTACATGTATGCATGTTGTGTATTCTTCCCCGTAATGTAAGATTAAAATTGTCATGGGCCTCAGCACTTGATTCATGCGTCGGTCAAGTGAAACTGTGAAATTATTAGAAAAGTAAATATTTAACAAATCTGCTCATTTTAACACGTCATTAAAAAAAAAAAAAAAAAAAAAACACACACACACAGAAGGCGAAGCAAATAATTTAAATTATCAGAAATGGTTACCTAACCCTTTTTTTACCCGACTTCCTATCCGTTGTTACCTAATTTACTGTGTGCGTGACGCTCAGGGCGACCTTTAAAATATATGCAGGTAGGAGCAGTGGATTTTTTTCTGAGGTTGATTTCAAAAGTGCTCACTCTATCGTGAGCAGCCTTTACGGTGGCGCCTGGCATATGCGCCAGGCACCAGCAAACACTAATCAGCGAAAAACATTTCCAGACTTGTTTATGTAACGGAGGGAATTTCACTGCTTCTCGGAAATCCGCGAGTCCGCGAAGCGCGGGTTACATTCCGCGAACGGAATTTTAAACAGACAGGGGTGTAAATGAAAGGCGCCAAGTGCTGCGTCACACCTATGTAAAATCCCGTTCTTCATATTTTTTTCCCCCCTAAAGCTGTGTGGTTGTAAGAGGGATCGGGGAAGGAATGTGGAGGAATTGGCCACGGCCTCTGTTAGGGACTCATCCCAGCATTCGCCTGGAAACCGAAATCAGGATGGCCGGACCCGGAATCGAATGCGAGTCCAGTGTGTTACCACTGCGCCACCTCGCTCGGTACTAACTAATACGAATAGAAACCGAGAGGAAATAGGTGTTTAGGTAACGCCTAGTAACAAATAGTTCCTATGCACAATATTACTAACTGAGTGCATACGAATGCGGTGCGTTGCCTCTTTAGTGTAGTTCTGTAGACATAGTTAACACATTCTGGACTACGCTCGAGCTAAGTTCGAGCAACGCCAGCTTAAAAATTTCTTCGTCGTTGATAATAAAACTCGGATGGTTATAGAGCCATTGTTCCGCTAGTATTTAACAGGAACTTACAAGAACAATACAACCCAGCAGCTATAGTTCACCTGCCATAAATGTATTATTTGCTATGCCCTTATAAAAGGACACGATTGACTGTGAACATTTTACACAGTAAAGAGACATTTTATTGGAGCATAATCAGCTCTGCGACCCCAGTGGCTGACGACCAGCCAATGATGAACGTTGTAGGGCACAGTAAGCACGCCCAGTGTGGTGTGGACCAATAGAAGAGTGGTAAGTCGGAATACAGAAAACCAACAGAATAGACGTTCTTGCATTGGCGCATACAGGTGATTCACTTCCAACTTGTCTTCAATTATAGTAAATATGTGCAGTCCTGAATGTGTTAAGGTTCGTTTGCATGGGGCGGAGGAATAACTTTAATGTAGAACTTCACCAGGGGATTTAGAAAAGTTTGAAGTAGACATATAGAGTGGAGTGAAGAGTGGGTATCGTGCAGGACGATGCATCTGGTGGGCTGGCTTTTCTTGGAGATCTCCTGTGTTCCTCACTCTTGCATTCACTGCGGTGCTCCACACTCGCCTCATTTCACACTCATCGGCTCTCAAGACCTCGATGTTAAGAGCCGCCCAAAAACTCTCGACTCACTCAAATAACGAAATTTCACGTCAGTTCCTTTGATGTAGGCGAAACCATTCTCTGATTGCCTGCGCGAAGCTCTGGGAACTGGTCTTTGCGTCTAATTGGCTACTGCACGCTGTGGAATGTTCTCTATTGGCTGGTTAGGTTACCAGCCGCTGATTGGCGAACGCGTTGCAACACGTTGATGGCGGCTGCAGTTCGCCGTACGAGTGGCTGTGTCATCTGAGGTGCGCGGATATGGGGATGGTGCAGTGGCGAAATGAAGACGAGAAAGTAGGGTTGGGCTAAACAGCTACTTTCATATAACGAGTTCCAGTAACGTGTTATTTTTGTGTAATAGGTTACTGTGAAATATTGCTCGCCTGCCCCGACGTTCTGGGGTGTAACAATTACGTGGTTCAATATTCCAAAGCAAGGCGTTTCGAGAAATAACATCTGCGCATGCGCACAGTTGCAAATCAAGACTTTCCAAAAAATAACTTTTTCTCATGCGCACAGTTGCCAGCTGAGACGTTCCAAAAAAATTACGTTTACGCATGCGCACTGCTGCAAACCGAAATGTTCTAAAAAAAAAAACTTTTACGCGTGCGCAGTAGTCAAGCGTTGGTTTAAGTAAGGCAATCCAAGACATTCTAAAAATAACGGTATAAACGACGGAACGTGTTACTCGTGTAACACGTTACCAAATTGTAACAGTTTATTATAACCGTTACGTCAAATAACGTCCATCTCTACGAGAAAGAAAATGGGAGCACCCGGAGAAAACCCAACACATCACTACAGTGTCCGCCACGCTCCTTACATGAGATGGCCCTCAAAAATTCTGCCGCCCGCCGGAGTTTGTATTCGAACCGCGAACTCAGCCAGTCGTGGATTTAGCAAGAACAGCTGCGTATGTGAAAAATACTCTTGGAAAATAAGACCACTGCAAAACAGCCAAAAAGTATGGTAAAACAGTCAATTAAAAAACTTTCTTGACAAAGTGTAAATAACTACATGCGAGTTACTCGTTCGCCAAAGAAGCGAGTGGTGGTAGGGGGGGGGGGCGGAGAAAAAAGAAAAAGACACAATGGAAACTACGGAGAATCTGACATAAAATATTCTGCTGTTCGACACAAATAACAAGAATCAACACACAAAAGTCGAAAACAGAAATACACTCGACAGAAAATAAAAAGTTCGCAACAAATATAGGAGTTGAGATACGATCCAGTAAAGGGATGCGTGATAAAAGGAACGCGGCGAACAAAATAGAGAAGAAATCTCGACGGCAAATGAACATAAAGCAGTGAGAAGTTTATGGGGCGACGTCAACCTGGACAATTGAACTGTACTTTCAAACTACGAATGTAATTTTTTGTAGACTCTGCCGTCAGGTATAAGTAATGATAAGATTTATTTCCTTTCGTGCAGCGAGGCTAATTACGATCTGAGTTTCTCGGACAATATTTCCGAAGGTTTCGTGTCACCTGGAGTGCAGGGGCGTTGTCTATGGGATGCGAAGGTAAAGCTTCATTCCAAGTGAATGCGTTTGGTTTCTAGAACCACGTAATTTAAAGTGTTTCGACGAATTTTCCGAACAATAATAAATCTTCGCAGATGAATAAACCGTGCCTGCGTGACCTTCAAACTAACATGTTTTGTAAAAAAAAAAAAAAAAATTACGAAACGGAAAGTATGGCAAGGAACGAAGTCTGCCACTTTTGACGATTGTCTGTAGGTGATTCGTAGGCTCATAGTTCTGACAATTTTGCTTCCAAGAAACCAATTGATCGTTGCAGTAGATCGGTACCGTGCAGCTGGAATAAGCACTGGATCTCCATTCGCTCTTAATCGAAAATGGCATACATACGCACCACACCACAATGTCACTGGCTATTATGTCCGCACAAACATTTCCCACGGTATTCCCGTTCTGCAGTAATAACAGACAAACATCCTTAGGCAAAAAAATCTGGATTCGTGTTCAGAAAAAAATAAAGTAAATATGAAGTCACTTTGCAAGTTTAAAATGCCAGTGTTGTACAATCTAATAAATTACTCCCAAATTTACCATACCATTGTATACGCTTAGTGAGACAGCAAGAATGGCAATGTTTTCCCCTATACAATCATTGTAGCGTTCCTACATTTGCTCACGAAACAGTCAAATGCATAGGCAAGTTCCTAACTTTTATAGTGGCGATGCTGAACATTCATATATCTGCACCTTGATGTGTGGTATTATTTCCATAACAGTGTAGAGATTAAATTCTTCCATTACAGTTTAGGAAGTTTACCAGAACATTTTTTTACAGAAAGGATAAAATGAATCCCTGCTCCCTCGCAGCCGCAATCAAATTTGTGTATACACTAGAGGGAGAGTTTTTGTTTAATCAAACAAAGTTTGTTTGGGGCACCAAAAATTAATTGCTTGTACATGGGCAATTAAATATTTTGTCGTTGATACCAAATAATTTTTTTGTTCTTATCTGTTTGCAAAAACAAAGATTTAGTTGGTGCAACAAAAGATTCGGTTGGCTCTACACATATTAAACTGTTTCATTTAACATACAAAGCAGTTAAGCCGAGACCGGGATTCGAGTATATATAGGCTATTCACGGTAAAGTGAGCACTTTTTAAGGCCCTTCTAAAATTTTTCCTTTCATCCAGTCTCCAACGTCCTGCTGTTTTTTTTAATATAAACATTGCAATGTGGCCAATAAATACAGTCTATATATTTCACCACACTCAAAATGTAATGCCCGAGGCTGCAATAAGTGGTTAAAGCCTGTTAGGAGGGCCTTAAAAA